CAACAATCACCAGAAGTCTTGTTTCCAGGGGCAGTTATTTAGGAATGAAACAGTAATTTTTTTCTGTAGTGGACATGCAAAATCCCGTAGGAGAAAACAAGTTCTCATATGCATTATGAAACAGATAACATACATTCCCACAAGGACCTTACCTCTTAAGAACTCAGCATTATTTCTATTTTCATTCCCTAGAAGTTTCACTTTGGATGATAGACGCGTGACCTTTGTTTTGTTTGGTTCTGAGCAATAGCCTTACTCTGCCATTACCTTTTACCCCGAACCATTACAAAGCCATAAAACAAAGATTTAAGTAATACGCCATTTAGTCTCAAAACAGAGTATTATTTACCTTATCTTATTAAATGTACCTTTCTGTTTGATTTGCTAGTCATATCTTCTCTTTTGAAGGATCAGAAAATGCACCTTTTTAAGGTGATAAAAGAACAGCAGCGTTAAAGGAGCTATGTAGTTGAAATCTAGAAAACCCTGTAATTTTCAAACCAAAATACATTCATTAAGCAAGTAACATTGAAATCCACCTGTGTTTACTCACCTACACTACTGAGAAACATAGTAAGATACATAATCCAGATGGATCGCCACCTGCTCTTATAATGCTCTTGTGTTTCCACAACATCCCTGTTTTTGAACCAAAAGTCAAGAAAGAAAGAAATCATTATCAGATTCTCTTCTAGTTGTTCCCACAGGACATGGAAAACATTTTTCACAAACGCAATACAACTGTGTAAACTGTTATGCAGGAATGGGCTTCCACACAGCAAAGAACACAAAGAATTTATTTTAGAAGCAAGCTAATTTTTCACTGAAAAGTACTAGATTGACAAATCAAATAACTAAAAGAAATGTTATCATGTACCATTGCATTCAAATGTTACACAAAGAGATCTTTATCTAGAGAGATCTTCAATTCTGCAATCTCTTTGTATAGACACTTTGGAGCACCACAGATACGTAAAGGCTTTAAGAAGTGCGTATTAAACCATAAAACCCCAGACATCTTCTCAGAACTGCGACTTTAAAGCAAGAAAACCCCCAAACCTGAACAACTATTGATTAAACTAAAAGGTATGGCCAGTCTACTCTTACCATGAGAAAATAATTATACAATGTAAAAGATGTATATAAAATATATTGCTGAGGATTGTAAGAGCTGCAAAAAAGATTAAAATAGAAGTTACAAACTTTGTGAGCCGTAAGTTATTTTTCTAAAATTCATAAGCACCTTCTGGACCCAGGTACTTTTTCAGAAGCAAGAATATTTCAGGGCTTTTCACTTCTTTTGGTTTCGAAGTATTCTAAACAAAATAATCTCCATCCAGAAGATGCAGACCTAGGTTATATAAGTCTGAACATAGTTTATAAACATTGTTTATATAGGTCATACATACACTTAGGCATATGCGCAATTTTAAAGCTAATGTAGCTATTACACAGCACGATTTGTACATTTATTTCTTCAGAAATGTTTACACCATTGAAGTGTCTTGGTTCAATGAAACTTTAACCACACAAACGATGTTTCTAAATGCACTTTGTAATTGCCCATCCCATTCCATGCATAGGAAAAAGTCAAACTCTTGCATATGGTATGTTTGGTTACTTTCAAGATTTTAGTTAAATCAAGCAGTACGCTTCAAGTACGAGAACACTTGAGCAAAGACGGCAGCAGCAGCCACCCCTACACATTCAAGACACTGTTGTTTTCCTGACAGAAGGAAAAAAACACACGTTCAACTGCTGCCCACACAGGAAGAGCGCGATTAAATACCTAGACTTCAGCACCACAATAATGGATTTTTATGCTTTTTAGAAACTTCGCAAGCGAGTGCGGTTTTTTACAGATGGAACCAGCGCCCGCTGGGGCAGCGGCCCCTGCCGCGCCCC